ATAAATTCTGAAGTCCAGTTACAACAGCAACATCATTTCTGATTCTAATGCTATCCTCAACTCCAAACAATGGATGGGATAGAGGTCCTGCTCCAGTCTATTAGAAGAATTTAATGACCATTAAAAGGCAAGCAGAGATTTGTATCACTCAGTTGTTCAGTGTCATTGTTTCACTCCTCACAGTGGAGAAGCAGCACATTTCTTTTAAGTAAAATATTGCTGGGAACTCACTGCTTCAGCAATTACCTCTGAAACACATTGTTTTCTCAAAGCCATTAACATGTCAGATCATGGCAGTGCTTGACATCCAAACACGCCTTGGAGGGCTGCAATTCAATTTAAGGATCACCTCCTCTGAACAGGCCAACCTGCAAATTTCACAAAATCGGAGAGAAATTCTCAGGGCACACTTTGATCATGCTGCTTCCTAAATTAAAAACAAAACTGTAAGTGTTAAACATCTTTAACAAGACATTAAACCTCAGCCATAATCCAAGAAGGGTCCCTTAATGAGTAATGACATATGTTGTGAAGGCAGTTATCTCCTAATGTTCAATGCTGGAACAGTACGATGGAATGGCACAGTGTTCAAAAGGGATGTATCATCACTAATGAGAGGATAATTTGAAGCTGCTCTTCTGAGAACCCCAGAGGAGACTTTCTATTGCTGCAGGATAGCAAAGGATGCAATACTCCATCTTAACACACACTTTAAGAGGAGTGGGAAGTGACAACGTGATAGAACAAAAGCTGAGATAGAGACAGAAAATGGGCTAGGTCATTTGGAGAGTCCTTAAAAGGGCTTTGGTCCCCAAAGTAAGTCTTGGCACAAATTAGTCATATCTCTTTATTCCCCTTCACCCAGCTGACCACTGATGGCGTTGGTATGGCCTACTGCAGAACCACCAAGTACTGCAAAAGATGATGATGATAAGGGAGGAGTTCAAGAAGCGGTAAGTGAGGCCCTCACTCAAAAGCAGGAAAGAGAACCCAACTCCTCTTCCATTAAAAAAATAGAAAACTCTTCAAAATTAGGTTTTGAAGTTCTTCCCCTCATTTCTAGTTAGTCATTGTGTTGGGAAGACTATAATCCCTGCAGGGAAACATAGGGTGGAAGAGAGGGGTCTTGCCAATAACAAGCAGACCTTAATGGTAGGGGCAGGAAGACAGAGGCCACACACACAAACAGAAAAACAGAACTGGGAGGGAGGAAGCTTCCAACCACAGAAAGCCTTGGGTTTATTGGAGAGGTCTTTTGCAGGGTTGGGGAGAGCAGAGAGTTCATGAAATTTCGGCTGTTAAGTTTGCCTTCCCACCCTTACGTGGGGTTGTGTCTGGCCAGAGGGAAGCATCATCAGGTGTGACAGCCACAGGACAGACTCTCCTGGCTCCAAGATGAAATGCTGCAAATGCAGGCAGGGTATTTATTCCACACTTCTTTTCCTTTTTCAGAGATTCATTTTGAAGAGAAAAATGAGCAGTTTGTGAAGAAAGAAACTAATTATGAAATTAAAAACTTTTAAGAATTTTGTTAGAAATGTGAATATTTACTGGGCTGGCTGAACATATGCAATAGACTTAGTTCTGGTTCACACAATGGCTTAGGCATCATATATGACGGGAGCTGCCATGTGCAATTTAGAGAGAGACAGAGTCTTTACGAGCAGAATTAACAGAGAAAAAGACAATAGGTCTGATAACTTTGCATAGCATTTCTTTACGTGAAAAGCTGTTAGTAAAGTCCACAGAACAAATTAATCCCCACACATGCTATTCACTAGAGGTTTTATAAAATTCTAGTAAGTCTGCCTCCTGACCGAAGGGACTAGCATTCACTAGAGCAGCTCGCTCCTGGCATCTCTTTAGTCACCAATTCCTCGCTCTGTGAGACAAGACAGTGCCACACACAGAGCAGAGACGTGTCAGAATGGGCTTTCTGCTCCCACTGTTGGACTTAAGGGAGGCCAGATGTGTCTCTAACATCGTCAGAGCACACAGCTGGGAAGGAATAGGGGCTTCAAACGAAGCCAACAGACACTCAAGTCAAACCTGCCTATGATTTTATTGGCACTCATGCAAAATTGTCATTCCCCGTCCAGCACCTTTTTTACTTGGGTTTTTTTTGGTTTGGGTTTTTTTTGGTCTTTTGTTGTGTTGTTGGTTTTTTTTTTTTATTTTAAGGCTTATCTTCAGAGATTTAAAAGGAAAGCTGCTGGAGACCACTTGTAAATGCTTCTTGTATTACTGAAAAAGCCTCGATTTGGTGACAGAGTAGTATTTAATAATCATCAATATGAAATGCGTAACTCAGTCCTCCTCCCTTGACCCTTCCCCTCATGTAAAGACATATGCAAATTAAGTGAATAACAATCAATTTGAGATGTTGCCATTTGCTGAAGCAGGCATTACTGGTTTCTACCTGATTGTTCCTGTGTCTAAATCAAGGGAACCGCTTCCAGAGACAATGATGACTTGACACAACATTGCAAAAGTTATGAAAAGCATCCATCACTTGGGTGAACACGTATTGTATTTACTAAATTACATTTGTAACTCCTGCAACACCCCTGAGCTCTGTAGAGAAGGTCTTTTCTATGAAGATCCAGCAGCCTCATAGCCTGTCCCCCTGGCAGTGGTCAATAGCTGATGCCTAAGGAAGAGCCTACAAACAGGCAAAGGATGGCGTGATTATTTTCCTGAATCCTTTCCCACCTTCTAGTATTGAATAGCCTGGAGTCTTCTTGAGCCCAAGGTCACACGTACTGATGTGAAACTCCAAACTCAAATTATTGACCAAAAGGTCTCCACCTCCTGTTTGGGGCTGGCGGGGCGAGGCTTTGGTTGTTGGGGGTTTTTTGTTTTGTTTTTTCTGTTCCCCTGATTCCTCAGTTTCCTAGCTGACTGCTCTACTTTAAGCAGGGGGGAGTAACCTCTTTTTTCACTGCGTGGTGTACAGCGTTCATCCCCCTCCCAAGTGGATAAACAGCAGGGGGGCTTAAACACTCACAGGGGCAGAAAAAAGGACAAGAAAACCGTCTTTGTTCCAGGCAGACAGTACGAGGTCATGTTACTATGGCAGCATGAACCATTTCCCCTCATTCTAGCTAGTAGTTCAACTTTGCCCATAGTTTATTCCCTGGGAAGCCTAATCCAGAGTTCAGGTTTGTGTATGCAGGGTTAGAGGTCAACAGCAATATGACAATGGCCTAGTCAAAAGAAAAGAAAGCTATGATATAGCAGAATCAGAGAGTCGGTTCACCAATCACTGGGGGCTGGCTTGGACAGAGAGGTTAGAATTCATCCTCTCACTTCAGCCTCAAGTTCCTGATGTAGCTATTTTGCGCTCAGCATACAGAAAGCCTCAACGGTGAACAATAAAGATGCCGCCGGAGCAAACAGTAAAAGAGGAGAAGACTGTGGATCACGTGTCCAGTGCTGTGGTGTATTTATGAGCTAAATTACTGCTACATTTACAGGCATCTTAGATTAATGCAGTTATTTTTCCTGCATCATTCCTTGCAATTGTGAACAACATACTAATGGTATATAACTTCTCCAAACCAAGGCTGCAGGAGGAGAAGCAGGAGTTTGAATGAACTCATGTATGTGTATGCAGACACCTACGTGTATGTAAATTCTCCAATAAAAATGGACAAGTGTAGACTCTAAACTATTTTTTAAAGCGCAAGAGGTAAAACGTGTATGTGAGTTAACACACTCATTTCATAAACCTTAAAAGAAAATGAAGAATTATGATTCATTTTCTTTCACTTATATGCCCAGGTACTCAGTTTCCATTTAGTTTACCGTATTCTTTTCCCATACAACTTCTATTTTGCTTTAGAAATTGTAAATTGTCTCGTGTCCCAAAGAGAGGTTTCAGAAAAATGATTCCATAAGTAATGTTTCCTTAGGCAAATAAGCAAGAAAAGGAAAAAAGCTGCCCGACAGGCAGCTGTGTCATATTTGTTCCTGGTACCACTGTCCTATGCTACTCACTGGATTGGAATTGCCTTATTAAAATGTCCTTTCATAAAACTCAGTATATCCATTATGGATTATTTTCATTTAGATAAGAAAAATAACTGTTTTGTTCTGAAAAACAGAATCTTTGTCAGGAGAAAAGTGGCTTAAATTTAAAAGCCACTTACAACCAAAGCATGTTGCTCCTCTTGAATTAAAAAATGATCTTAGTAAAAGCTACAGTATTTTTGTGCAGAATTTTCCTGAGGATCACCCACGAAAAAGAAATGTCATTTTAACAGCTTCAAACAACATAGGACCAGGCAGCTGGATTCTAGCTCTCCAGTCTCCCTGTGGTTCTACACTTCACAGCATCTTCACTGCACATTTGTACAGTGCAAGGAGAAGGCAACACCAAAAAGGGAGACACAAAAATAAACCCCAAATGGTTCAGTTCAGTCTCTTTAACCTGTCAGAGTTGTTCATTTTCAAAGGGAACTGCCTGCTGTTGGGTTTTTTGAGTTTGTCCTGAGTTTCCACAAACCCCATCACCTCCTTCACTCGCTCCTTCCCATTCCTGCTGCCCGTCTACAGCTGGGAATGCACGTCCTTCATTCGCTCCTTCCCATTCCTGCTGCCCGTCTACAGCTGGGAAGTGTGACAGGAACATGAAAATGGTAGTTACCAGACACACATTCTGCCCAGGATTGATAAGACAGGTGGGGCCAGTTCACACAGACTGGGGCCCCATTTCTCTAGGTCCACCAAAAGAGTTGTGGTCATGTTCCCACCAGCAAGATGTGAACATGGCCCAGGGCAGCAGAGGCAGAGGGAGAAGGTCAAAGTTTGAACTGCATTTGCTCCATCGCTCAGTTGGAACCTGCACATTCTGCTTGTGAGAGCAATTTTACAGGTTACAGGTTGGATATCTTAGTAGTTATTTAACCATTTTGGCTATAGCTTCTAATTCAAACTTACAAACTGTAAACACTGGAAATCAACATAGGCAAGAGAGAAAAAAGCATGCAAACACCTACCGCCAAGTGGAAGCATTTCATAAAGTGGTCTTTTTCTCCTCAGGCTGTAGGACACCAGTTTCCTCACAGAAGACTGCAAATATTCATATTTACTTGTCTGCAAAATGAAGAAACAATTTTTCTTAATTCTCTATTAGAAGCTGCTAAATAATTTCCATTTTTTGAGTAGAAAAATATTGAAAATTAACTTCTTAAGGATTTTTTATCAATTTCAGTAGTTACTAAATGCATAAGAGAAGGATTAATTTGGCTGAAACGCTGTCTAAGTTTTAAATCTCTCTCTGGTCAAGCCATAAAACAAAGGTAATTGATGTAGGTCTGGGGCCAAATTATCTTCAGAGGGATTGGATTTATTTACTGAACATGCCAGATGCGCAGAAGTCAGCAGGAAGCATTTATTGATTAGCCATCGACAGCACTGTGTCCCCCTCGTGCACCATATTATTGATTAGGTTTAATCTCTAAGCTATTGTCTCCTGCAAGTGAAGAGCACAATGGCTTTGGAGGAGAAGTAGGACTGGAGAATACCAAAGATGTAAAAAAAGTCTCCATGACAAAGGGCCTGGGGCAGCTGTGCTCAATTCCTAGACTGAGAGAAGCAGAGATAATCCACTAATCTTGAACAAAGTGGGATAGAGCATGCCTGCCACCCAAGCCCAGGTCCAGGAAGATTTCTGTACAAATAAAGAAGCACCTTTCCCTTTGACGTGAGATGTCGTGGGTGTTATTTTGTCTGGCATCAACTGGGAGTAGTAGCTCTTTCCCTCCTCATCATCACCGTTCTTTTCCACTGCAGGATGAGTCTGCTGTTTTCATAGCACTGACTGAGAAGGATATGCTTTGAATTTCTCTCTAATTTTGAGTAACCAGGATTTAGAGGAGAGGAAGCATTCTGGTACTCTAAGAGCCCGCTTTCATCTTTTTGTTGCATTTTCAAAAGTAAATTGTGGCAAACTGATCCATTCTTGCAAATGGCCAAAGCATTCCCTTTACCTAGAGGCATGGTAAGCGATTGAGATGAGACAAGAACCTGCTTTCGCTGCTTCTACAAGTCCAAAATCTTCAAACAGTCTGCTAGCTTTGATATAATTAATAAAGAATTCCCTTCTGTTCTGGTGGGCACTTCTCAGTCCTACTTCAGTGCTACAGTCCTGCACAGCGGTATTAAGTGTTCCACATCAAAATCTAAACTTTTACCTTCTGAGGCGATTGTCTGCATCTCTCAGGTGGCCTGACTCATTAACCACCTGTAAAAGCTGCATTATCAGGTGTAATCTATTTAATGAATTAGGACTTAAGCAGGACCCTCAGAAGGGAATTTCATCAGAGACCTATGCATTTTTTTTTATTAGCAGCAAGAACCTTTTTCCTTTTTGTTTTCTTTTCTTTAAAAATAAAATAAAAAAAAAGCACCATCCATGCTCTAAACACTTGCAGACTGTCCTGGCAACTGACCAAGAGTCTGAGGGTTGTATTTAATTTGCATAAATCAGAGCTGATTACAGTTACTTTCCTCATTAATACACTGAGTACTGATTAATAATCGGTAATACACAGAATGTACTGATGCATTTGTATGTGTCTGAACGCATGCTCGATGCCAAAAAATGTTTCTGAAAACAAAACTCCTGTTCCAGAGTGCTCATTCTCAGCCCACAAAGGAAAACCAGTCTCCACCACAGGGCAGGCTTTGTTCCAAAGAGAAGGGAAAGACCTGATATTTCACAGAATCACAGAATCTTCAAGGTTGGAAGGGACCTTAAAGATCATCTTGTCCAACCGTCAACCTGACTGACAAAAATAGACACCCGCACAACAAACAAGGAGCATCATCACTAAACCATACCTCCCAGCACTACATCAACCCCTCTTTTGAACACCTCCAGGGATGGTGCCTCCACCACCTCCCTGGGCAGCCCATTCCAATGGCTGAGAACCCTTTCAGTGAAAAAACTTTTCCTAATATCCAGCCTGAACCTCCCCTGGTGTAACTTGAGGCCGTTTCCTCTCGTCCTGTCGCCTGTGACTTGAGAGAAGAGACCGACCCCCATCTCTCTACACCCTCCTTTCAGGGAGTTGGAGAGAGCAATAAGGTCTCCCCTCAGCCTCCTCTTCTCCAGGCTGAATAACCCCAGCTCCCTCAGCCTCTCCTCATAAGACTTATTCTCCAGACCCCTCACCAGCTTTGTCGCCCTTCTCTTCTTGAGTTTCTTGAGTTCCTACAGGACACATCTTCATTTGAACCCTGGGGAAGAGATGAGCTACCACTGTGGTCCTGGTCCAGTCCCACACAGATGCTCTTGGCACCCCCAGGTCCATCACTGGACCCGTGATGCCCGTAGTCGGGCCACCTTCTGCAGGAAATGTTGTCTGGGCTGAGAGTGAGGAACCCGACGGAGGCAGGGAGCTTATTCAACACAGCACATCTCATTTCAATATGACAATATACATTACCGACCAGCATATTTATTGCTTACATAGATGTGAGTTATTCACATGGAAAATTGATTTATCTATCAGATAATTAGTAAACTTCAATAATTGCAAAAACCTCTTAGCAATCAGTTGACATTTAATTAACATACAATAACTGTCTTATTAAATCTCCATTAAACACCTGTTGGAGTTAATTAAAACCCACATGTAGGATTCAATGATTCCTGGGGAAAAACCACATTACAGTTCAAGGATAAGGAGCCAAGGTAGAAGCATCTGCATCTATACGATCAGTAAGACAAAACATGGATGACACAGAGAACTTCCCAAACACTAGGCAGAATAAATTATACTTGAGTTCTGCTTCTAATCAGCCCGTTCAAAGATGCTCAATAAAATTAAAAAAAAGAAAAAGAAAAACAAAATAAACCCCAAAAACCGCAAACTAGCCTCTTCCTCCTGCAAGAGACAAAAATGCAAACATTTAGCAGTACTGTTTCATCTGCAGCACATGGAGAACTCTAAGCAAGGAAGAAGTCCTTTAAATGGAAATAAAATATGTGTAACAGCACTCATATTTGTGCATGTTGCTGTTTACTCTAAAGTAAGTCAAAGTCAGAATAAAAGTCAGATCACAGAAAACATCAACAGTAAGAATTTGGAAATCTACCTCCTTGTTGTTGACCTAGCCTTATAGTATTCAGGAATCCTCTTCTACATACAATAATTTTCTGAACACCTAAGCATATGTATAAAAGTGAAATCAAATGACTGCCTCTGACTTGACAGATCTGCTGAACTAAGAACCATGCATTGTCCTTTATTAAAGGGCATCCCCTTGAGAAGATAAAGCTTTGTAAATGTTGTGCTAAAAGTTAGTATTCTCTGATATTGGCTATTATATATATTTATAGAGGTAGTAATAATGATCTTCAAAGAATGATGTTACCTAACCACATTTTATGCGACCTTTACAAAACTCAGAAATCAGTACTCTCGTAGCAGATACACAGATTTATCCCTATCAAGGTACTAATGTGTATCTAAAAAGGGATCTTGTTTTTGAAAATAGCAAAATAGATACTGAAAAGGAAAATAAATCTCTAATCAGACAGAAAATATTGGCCTAAGAGTGAGGGGCAATACTTAGAGTAATCTAGGGACATTCAGGTTATAATGAGAACACATGATGCATTATTTGTGACTTAACTTATTTTAGTCTAAGGCCCCTGAATAATTAACCTGCTTTGTTTCAATTCATTTTAATGTCCATATCCTACTGCTTATGAAATTGGAATGTGTTCTATAAAATAAACATTCTCATCACTTTCAGAGCTGTACAAAGACTGGTATGAAAAATTTCATTCATGATGATTCTTAGGATTCAGGTATTTTGCTCAAAATAAATATTAACATTGCTGTGTTGAAAAAATTAATTTAGAGAGCAAGCATTTTATCCTAATTAGAAAAGAATAAAATTGAATATTTTTATATTGACATTGTAACTAATTTATTGTTTATAAAAATCTCAAATAAAACAGATTAAGTTATTTTATAAAATTATCTCTATTTGGAAATTGAATAAGTGGTTTAAAATGAATAAATTATTGTATAATATCAGATCACAATTATAAAAATATTTCAGTGCAGCACATAATACTGTAATTCATGATCACCAATGACATGCAACCAAAAAGGTATTATGCCTATGTTAACAGAAACTAAAGGGCATATGTTTACACAATCAACTTTTCCTGTTGCACCATGAAAGATATTGAAAATTTCTATTATTTCACTCGATGTTACTGTCCTATCTTATTTTAAACCATGCCTTCCTAATTCTCCTATTTTTCTTCATGGCTGCATCTCTGCAATACAAACCTGTTTCCCTCACTATTAAGAAATATTACTGTTCCTGGAAATTCATCTGTCATTTTGTAAATCTTTCTCAAAGGAAGAAATAACAGGTTGTCTCGGTGAAAGAAAATAACATAGAAACAAAAATAGCATGCTCTTTGCTCCCACAGGGACAAACCAAGTAATATTTACCTCTGACACGATAAACAAAAGATCAGAAAGGATTAGAACTAATGGCTCTGTAAATAGTATACTTGTAAGAGAGGAATCCTGCAAGAATCGCAAGAAAATTGTATCCACTTTCAGCTGCCAATTTTTGAGGAACATCCTGGTTTTTTAACTCGGTATTTATGGAACAGTGTATGATGGCAACTCTGCCATCACCATCATCATCTTTTTACATTATTGCCAAGATTTCTCCTGAAGAATTATTAACAGTCTCCTGCGCAGAAGCAACCAGGCAGATTCCACAGAGGTCATTTTCAATGACGGCTGCATTTTTGAGAGCGGCAAAAGAGCCCGCCTTCCAAAAAGAACTCACAAGTATCCTTACGGAGAACTCAAGTCAAGGGGACCTTGGACAGAGAAGACTAAATAGACATTTCTCAATATTCACTTCTCTCCAGCCGTGGGTCAAAGGCAGGATGAGAACACCTAAAGCACAGCACAGGCAAGTCAATACTCCATGGACGTATGGGGATGCTTGAGAATCATGGACACGCACCCGCTGGATATACCTTGTTACACCCAAGCATGCTGTTTTCTAGACAGGATTACATGAGGTAGGTTACCCCAAACTACCTT